ATATTTCGCCGATCGCTCACCGCGATCGACGAAACAACCACTCGATGTTCAAGCAATAATTAATAAATTTAAGATTATAACTCGAGGAATCAAGTTACAATAATGTCTCTGTTCCACACTTCTGGCAACAACTCTTTTTTGTTCTAACGATCAAAGTGATCAAAATGCCCACACCTCCAATTCTTGTGTTCTATTCCCGAGGAAGACAATAGGAATAGAACGGGAACAAAATACTTTAACAAGAGCCGAGTCATCACTTATCATGTTATTATGGAGGATAGAATAGAATTTTTGGTATCTAGTAATTCCGATGTTGGGTTGATGTTATTGTTTTTCCATGGTATTTACTATAAAACCAGTTGAGTGTCACTGTTCAAAGATTGTGTGCACCTCATCAGCGGTGGTATTGTAGCCACATAACGGCAAACAGAATCCCATACCACGTCGTCCAACCGTTCTGCAGCACGTCTGAATTCGTTCATGATGCATCGCATCACATGAACATCGACACGTTTTCTTCAGAGTTTGAGACTTCAGACTGCTACCGTAGCATTCACCCTACAAAAAAAATAAACGTCATCAGATAAACAGAATCAAGCGGCCACGAATGATGACATCCATGGAAAAAGTTTCAAATGAACTTCGCAGTTTTAATGTCCAATTGAATTTCCTATTCTTTCAGAATTTCCTCGCAGTGTTGAATCCAAGCTTAAGTTTCGGTTCTAAAAGCATTAACAACAAAATAATTCGATCAAACAACTTCATATATCTCAAAACACGTACATTCACAGCTTTCTGGATGCAATACGGTTTTTCGTGAGCGCATAACGCCTTCAAGTCACTGACAGACAGCTTCCCATAAAGTAAATCCGCATACCAGATCAATACAAATGATATAAAGATCAAACAATTTGAACTACCAATCAGCATGTCTGAATAACAGCTCGGATGATAATGACAACAGAAAATGATATGGTTGTTATCTATCCAAGTCAATGATGATCTGAATGCATTACTGAGTGTGAACACCAATAAATCCATTCCAGGATCAGTGGGTTAAGTGATTAGGTCAACATCGATTCTGCGATAACGCAAATTATTTACGCGGGCGAAATCCTGTTGCAAGAGCTGGTTATAAATGCGTGATACTGAATTCGACAGGGATGTTTTTCACTTCATGAAAACCATTCTTAATAAATTTTGACATCTCGATATCTTGTGAAAAGTGTGTATGAAGTGCCCATAAATTATTTCGGGTTCTGCTCCTATTGATGAGTGGAATGGCGACAGTTCAGCACAAGAAATGAAGAAAAATTGAAAAATATTGACCGAGATCTGGAAGGTCCATTATCTTCCCATTCCCATCCTGAATGTGAGGAGATTCATTTCATGATTGAGAATTTGACGGCAGAAATGACTTTATTTTCATTAGTCAGCCCTCTCATTCTCTGCTTTCTTCTATTCTCGGCCTCTTTTGTCATTCTCATTCTCTGCTTCTCTCTGTTTCACTCGCTTTGGTAAGGCAACCGACTGTCCACTTTTAATGTTAAAGAGACGTGAGTCTTGATTCCGACTCGTCGAATAAGAGCACCGCTCGGATTATTTACAGAATTTTTATCGGACAGGAGAGAGACTGTCTGATTTACAGGACATTTATAGAATTTGCATGGAAGGGGGGGAGAGACTACCAGATTTTGTCCGAACAAATTCTTTCAGCTTCCGTAATTGCGGTCAATCACGCTTTACCAGCATACTTTGCACGTCTTCGATGCTTGTGTTTTGGCTTCCGGTCAGATTGAAACAAAACAATTCAGTTGACGTTCATAGAGTACGAAACACATTCTCCGTGGCAATCGAATCATTCACTGGATAGCCTCGTTCCATTGAAGATTACGAGCACTTATGTGATTTAACAGAGCATTTCTCAGACCGGATGACTCCATTTAAACTTAAACTTCCGGTTTTCTCAGCTTTGCTCTATTTCACGAATATTCCTAACTCCATCGAGAAGGCAAGATTCTGTTCGATCAGAAAAGTACTTGTGTTGCGGATGATAATGCTTAGGCAATGAGATATAATCAAATAGTGCTTACAGATGATCTATTCAGCTACATCTCGCTTTACACTTACAGTCTATCCGCTGATCATCAATCAAACAATCTATGTATAGAATTTCATATGGGTCGAATTCCGTGTGACAAAAAGACTCAGCTTTGAGCATTCAGTGAAGTTTTTGTGTTACCTAATTGTAAGTATAAAAGCTTATCAAATACAAAAAATTGCATTTGGTCTAACACTGGATAATTTTACATGTGAGACGATTACGTAAGAAGAAATAAATCAGTTTTGTCTTTATGATCCACGCTGATGGAATTTTGGCTGTTCCTTAGCCTGAGATGGTTTCGTTCCCAGCCCTGATAGAGTAATGCTGTGTTCTCGACAGGGTCCAACTGTATCTGCGAACGTAATTTTGATGAAACTACAACAGTTCGGTAATACTTCTTGGATGGATTAATAACTAAAATTGTTCCGTCATACCGCCACTTGCATCAACTGTCAACATAGAATTCAATGAAGCACACTCAATACGAAATGAACACCGGAACAACTTTTATTGGCTATGAAATATAATTATTATAATCTAACACATTGACGAATTACTTCAAGATCGAAGACTAACACCGGAATCACATAACAGTTAGCTGATAGCATTGGCAACATCGAAACAAGTCAAAACAAAGTTTTGATAAACATAAAACGCTGAGTTCCATATTTCGTGACTTGTTAAAATTCTTGTAAACATCCGAAATATATGAAAACCTTTGAATAAAGTTAAAATTCCTGTGCAATTGATGTGAACCTCTTAAAAATTCAAAATCCTGTGCTACACATTCCCACTTGATCTTACATAGACATTGGTACACCTCCAGTGTTACTGATATCACCGAAGCCTAGGTCAGGCTTTGATTCTAAATCTATATCTATTTACTATTAACATTCCATACGCTAGCTTTAGGAATGTTCATTAAAATATTAAGAATTCACAAAAACATTACAAAGCTGCATCAATAAAATGTGGAATGGACGACTAAATTCGATGTCATCGCAATGATCACTATTTACTTGACATTGTTAACAGTTTCATTGATGGCCTTAGCAAGATATTCAACATTGTTGTGATTAAGACCACAAACACTGATACGACTGTTCTTCAGAAGATACACTCTATGTTGCTTCACGAGGTGATCCACTTGTGTAGCTGAAATAAATTCATTCATCGCAACTATCGTCAATATGTTTCAAATTACTTGAGCTTATTGCTATTGAATAATACAACAGAAACATGACGACGGTCCATTCTACGAAGAACGCTTTCATAATGATTATTGATTCTCTATATTTCAGTCAATTCTCCTTTTCATGTTATTTCCGACCGACATTGGAAACGAAAAATCAGAACTTAGTTTTTATTGATTACATCTTTTTGAGATTTTTCACGAAACTAATTTTTCAACCTAGTTGATGGAACTCGTGATATGGGAGCAGAGCATATAGGTTGGCTGAGGACGAATTAAACGTCCAATTTGAATCGAAGTGATGCTGGATTTGTG